AGTGCAACCTATCAGCTGTACGGAGTTTTCCAAACCACATTAGCACATGCAGGTTTGTCCTATTGGGAGTGAGCCAGTCCCCTCTGGGGATCCCCTCCGGGGATACCTCTGTTCCTGAACCACTGCAGAGCTGTGACACCGTTTATCAGGCAACAAGCTTCCAAGGGTGCAGCCAGCTCTCGGTGACACTACCTTCCCTAGTCCATCCAGGCCTACGCTTGTGGCCTCCCTGATTGACTTCCCGGGCTGGCAAGCAACTCTCAATCCCACAGCTGCTCTCTGCATTTCCTACACAGTAGGAATCACAACGTGTTCCTGTGGCAGCAGCCGTTACAACCAACTATATCCGAGAAGCTGGCTTCTTTAACCCCTCCCCTAAACTAAGGCTGTGCCAAAGGAAAATAGGAAGCTAATTGGACAAAAGCATTGGGAATTATAACAAGTTGGAGAACTATTAAATGGAGCCTCCATGTTTACTACTTTATAAGAAAAAATAAAAACAAGCTCTAGAAACCAGGAAGAGGAGAAAGTCAGCTTGGCTGACTAGATTGCCTGGCTAAGACCTGATCCCAAGATCAAAATTCTGTTATCAATATGAAATTGCTGGGGCTGCTATCACTTCCTGCAAGTGACTGCTCCATTTACCTTATTATACCTCAAAGAACTGCTGGCAAAGTAAGCTGTATAGAGAGCCAGTCTTCAGCCTTGAGCTGGACAGCTCAAGGTACAACTCGTGCATGAGATTGGCAAAAAACAAACAGTTCACACAAGGGAGCTCTCTGCTGCTGCAGGAGCCTTCGCAGGCCTGCCAGGAGCAGCGTGAAATCCTCGTGCGCTCTCACCCTCCCTGCTTCACCTGCCGAGGACAGCAGAAACCTTACGGTAGAGGGGGCAGTGCAGGAGAACAGGACTGAGAAGATTCTCCCTCCTTCCTCAGGACTTAGCAGGACGCATAGGAGAGATCTATCGCGACTGTACTGCCAGATCACAGTCATGCCTGGCTGCGTTTTTTGGACTTGGAGAGATGGGGAGTATCAGTGCAGACACCCCTTGTGGGCTGTGAGCTTTAGAGATTCAGTATTTTCAGACCAGTTCTCCTGGCTCAGCAGAGACAAATCTCACTTATTTTTGTTTGGTTAAAGCTGAGTCTTTTAGAGACCGTGGAACAAGTTCCCTCAAAGACCCCATTATGGAGGGGAAAAAGACAGAGAGGGGCTGGGGCAGGATGCTGGGGGCTTTCCAAAAGTCCTAGTAGCTCTAAAGGATCTCTTTCCTCTACCCTCCACCAGGCCTTTCACAGTCTCTTTCTTTTCCCAAATCCTTGGGGAAGGCAGTTCTAAAGCACAGTCCTTAAGACAATTTGCAGTGTCAGTAAAGAGAATGAAAAGCTTGAAAAGAAAGAATGCCACCCCAGTCAGTGGACAGAGATCCCTGAACTGGTATTAAAGGAGCTAGCTCCCAAAACACAAACACACCAGGTCAGCATGGAAAAGAGCAGCAGTTACCATGGCCGTCACCCCCTTCCTGCCCTCAGCCCCACCACAGCACTGCACAGAGGCACCCATAGGGCCTGCTGAGTCCCTCTCGTCCACAAACCTTACGGAGACCCCCGAGATGCTTTCTTCTTATGAAAGGGGGAAGCGCAGAGGCCAGACTCTTCTCTAAATTCAATTTTGGAAGCTCATTGCCACTCAAAGCACAAGCACACCTCAGACCTTTGTTGCAACTCAACGTTTGTGTTGCTTTTTTTGTTTGCTGTTCCCAACCATCTCACACAGCAATACTGACACACTCTGGGAGCAGATCTGCCAGGGAAGCACTCTAGTGCAAGAGACATTACCTCACTGCCTGGCAAATGACATCACCCCAGAAGGAACAATGGTAATATCTTTGACACACTACGTAGCACCAAGGAAACCTAAATAAACTGAAGCAGTTCTGTGCTACAAGATTAGCCAATGACAGGCAACCCTCTTGCCCAGCAGATATATTTTAAGGCTTCTGCGTTCTGTGCCTAGCTGAGCCTAGCTTATTACAGCAAATATCTTTGCATTGGGGAAAAACAAGAGAGAAATCTTTATGATAAGTGCTTGAAAAGCAATGAAATGAAGAGTGAATCAGCTTCGGAGCCATCCTTGTTATATTCAGGTCTGCCCACAGATGAGAAGCAGCAAGATCTCTGTGGCTCTCTGCCACCAGCTTGGCAGTCAGAGGGGACCCAGCTAACGCCGTGCTATCCTGCGAGGAGCTCAGCACGGCGCTGGAAAGAGGCCTTTAGTCTTGACAGGGAGCTGACCCTACAAGTCAGGCAAGCTGAGCATTCATCCTAGTCTACCACTGACCTACTGCGCTATGTCAGGCAAGCTCCTTCAGCTCTGTGCCCCTGTTTCCCCATCTGTAAAACAGGGACAATGATTTTTAACCTCCTTTGCAAAGCTCTTAAAATATAATCATCTGTACATTTCATCTGAGGTAAAGACATCTGGTGCCTAAGGTAGGCATGCTTTCAAATACATCTATCTTCAGTTTCAAGCAACATAGTTAAGGAGTTTAAATAAAAAAAGAATGGAAAAATATTGAAGGAATTACTTGTTCTTTCTGAGTCTATTCAGAAAAAAGAACATCATCATCAGAAATAACACTAACAAAATTTATTATTGGCTAGTTAAAAACCCCATTTCATATTAAACAGTGATGGCAAAGATCTTCTCTTCTGCTAACAGTATAAAAACTCCTATTCACTTGGCGGGTAAAGATCCCTCTTTTCCCCAGAAATAAAAAGGTTTGAAAGAAACATGTAATATCATACAGTGAAATATAGAGCAGGAAAACCTGAGTTATTAGATATTTAAATAGCTTATCCAGAGTTACAACCCATCATAGTTATTTGCCATCATAAAAAAAAAGGAAAGCTTCAAACCTTTCTACTAACATTAATAAAGTGCAAATGGGCATAGAATAAACTGCATAAAGACAATACAAACAGGAAAACAGATTTTATGATATTAAAGCTTGTGAAATGCTAATGAAAGAACCTGCAGAAAACTACAGAGAAGATGAATAACGAGAACTGGTTTATATTAATGTATATGACTAGGATTTCATAAACGCTCATACAAGAGCCAATTATGCAGATGGTGCCTCTGGAGAAAGTTCTGGGTGGATCCAGCTCAGACCTGATGGTCTGTCATTCTCTCATTACTTCTCCTTAATCACACAAGCAAGTTGGTACCCGCTCTGTAACAGCCAGATGCAGAGCTGCTGGAGCCATGAAAAACCCAGCTGCATGTGGACCTCCCTGAGCCAAAGAGCACCTCTGCAGCCCTTTATCCAGTGCCCTTTATCGCCAGACCCTCTCCGTGCAGCTCCCGCTCCTGTGTCCCACCCCAAAGGCCTCCACCATTAGCCCACCAGGGCAGGAAGGCCTGCAGCCAGCACACGCTGTGGGCACGGCCTTGTGCCCGGGACCCCCAGCCTCCCCCCAGCGCAGCCGTGAACTCCCCCGCCTGGGCACCCGTGCGGTCCCAGGCCCTGCCCCGGGGGAACCGGCTG